CTACTTTCAAATAGAATTGCAAGAAGGTCTAAAATTCACATATGACCCCCAATGTATTAAACACTAGTGTTAGACTCTGAAGTCTTTATCACTGGGGAACACTTACATCTGCAGTGAGGGGATCAAACATATGCAACAGTCATCTACTTTCCCAGACTTCCTACTTCCAGGCTAATCATTTTGCAGTCACAGGGTTGCTGTGGTCCTCGGAAGCAAATTAAACTGCTCTCTGAAAACAACATGCTCTTCCTCTCAGGTATTTTTCACAACTGTGTACATTTCTTAAAGAAACTTGGGCAAATAAAAAACGGACTTAACTTAATGTGCTGTGAATCGGAATCCTGCCACTCACTTTCTCTTTCTAAGAGCAAATAGAAAGACTCACCAAGATCCTCTTTGTCCTGGCCTTGAATAGATAAGACAATCCCCTGTTCTCGTCTGCCTGAAGCTACACACACAGTGCTGAGGCCAAGCTGGGCCAAAGCTGCCACAGCTGGATGAGAGGCATACCCCCCATCTCCACTGAGTCCCAAAGGGCAGTGCACATGAGGCAGATGAGCCTCCCAGACAGATGGGCTTGAAAGTCCCCAGTGCTCTTTGCTTGTCCCTCATAGCGTATGCAGCAGCAGCATGAACACTATCCCATTCTCTGCAGTCATCGCCTCCAATTCTGTGTGAGAAAACAGTCCTGGCTGTGTTTATTCAACATGTGCAGGCTGATAGCAAAATGCCCACTTAAGGTTTGTTTGCTTTCTGTTTTCTTGGCCACAACAGACTGCCAGTAAGAACTATATCTTAAGATTTGGTCATAGTTGGGGGTGGGGGAGGAAGCCTGAGAACAAAACATCCATGCACATTTGCTTTATGTCTGCAGATGGGTTACTTTCTGCCCACGAGGCACTATTCAGTGATACATATGCCTTGTGCTCTCCTATAAGCCCACAGAAATTCTAGCCCAGTGATTAAGTTCAGGTACGTTTCAAAGAGGAAGGGCAATACCATGCCATGCTCTTTGCAAAAATGGAGATCAGTGTGCAGGAAAAGCAAACACCACTAGATCCCTACCCCCAGAAATCTTAGATAGGAAAGTAAAATTGGAAAATTGCCATTGGCTTTGACCTTGGCTAAATAATCCTTCAGGCAAAAGCTCAGGCCCCAGAGAACGGCAATCCTTGAAGCTCATCATAAGTAGATCAAGCTGAAGAAGCAGTGAGCAGATCCACTGCTACCTTGTTTAGAGATTTCAGAGACCTGGCAGCTTTGTAAGAAAGATAAGCCAAGGGCCTAGTACGGCTAGGGTGCAATAAGGCACCCAAGTTGGCTACTTCTGGTATATATCTACTCCTCTTGCTGAATAAATATGACCCTAAGGACATAAATCACATCAGAGGGCCAGGGAGCAAGGCCAGGGCCATGGGAGAACAGGGGTGTGGGGGCAGGTCCTGGGACTAGGTACTAGCAGCAGGGAATGGGAGTTGGGAGGGGGAAGCCTGTAAGTTTGTATGAGACAGTAAGAGGAAAGTGAGTGGTCAGGAAAAAAGGACATGGGTAAAAGTGTAGTTTTAGTAATATAGAAGCCTAATACTTGAGCAAGACATTTGTTCTGGAGGCAGAGAAGAAACTAGCTGAGAAAGCCCACACACCTAGAGCTGAGCTACTGATGACTAGAGTAGTTGAGACTGATCCTGTGTGGTAGGAGTAAGAGATAGGACCAAGACTGCTCTGAACTAACTAGAGCTTTGTCCCTGATGGCCAGTGAGATACAGGGCCGAGCAGTCTCTTGTAGGAAAGAAGGTGTTGCATACTGTCTATGTGAAGAAACGCTTAAACTCTTTTACAACAAGAAAAGATTGTTAACTAGAGTCTGAAATACCATTTTAAATTTTGTAAATTAAAATGGTTTATTAGGCTTGGGAAATAGTTCAGTCAGTAAAGTGCTCAGCATATGAGCATGAAGAGCTGGGTTCAATCTCCATAACATATATTAAAAAAAAAAATGCCCAGGGTGATGACATGTGTTTTTAATTCTAGCACAATGGAGGCAAAGACAGGAGGATTCTTGTAGCTCACTGGCCAGACAGTCTAGCCTAAATGGAGAACTCTAGAGAGAGGCCCTGTCTCAAAAATTTCCGTACTCAGGCACATAAGAGCACCCAAATACATAAGCAGGCACTTTAAAAAAATTGCTTTATCATGCAAGGTACTTTAGAGTAAAGGTCTCTGTAATTTATCCCTTTCAGCAAAGTGCACTGGCTCATTCCTAGCTCACCATTGTCCACAGGCAGAGGTGGCGTTTATGTCATCACAGTTATGCTAGATATAGCTCCGTGTCTTGGTTGTTTTTTTTTTTTTTTTTTTTTTTTTTCTCATGTACTGTGCTAGAAGCAGCATTAGTCAGTATTTCTCCATAGGCTCTCTGATTGTCATGGTTACTGATTGGACTGTCTCTCCACAGGCTCTCTGATGTCAGAGTTACTGATTTTATTGCCCTTTAAAATGTAGAGAGCTCTCCTTACTGCTGAAGATTTTAGATCTCACAGAATACAATGAACACTGCTGCATTTATATTTTCTCCTTCCACTGAATTGTTTCCTTACAAAGATAAGGTGTTTGTTGGTACATGCTTTTATATTGCTTTCTGCAGGTGTATGTGTTGTATTCATTGCAGTTTAATCAGTTCAAAATGATTTCTTTCCTAGTTTAACATTTATTAAAAAGCGGTAGAATTTAGTTTTAATTCTTACCAGTAATCTTCTCTTCAGTGTTTCCTGAGTGATAGAACTGTACATTTGAACAAAGACAAATACTTTGATGTAAAAGTATATACATTATACAAATTATATATAGCATGTTAACATAATATGTAATGTATATATACAATTACACAAGTATATTATTTTCTTTGTCTGGACTTTAAGCATCCTATACTACAAGTATAAATCTAAAGGTGATCTGTTTTACATATCAAATGCCATTTTGCGTAGCAATTTCCATATTTTCCTCTGCCGTAAATTCTACTGAATATTTGAATTTTTTTTATCACATTCCCTGAAAGAGAAACAGCTTTAGCAAACTGCACTGAAACAATTAAAGGCCAAAAGCAAAGCAGCGGGAAGGACAATCGAGCACCTCTTGTGGTCCTTATTAATTGGTCTACATGCACACACATCTCCAGCCAGCCTCTTTTGTCTAGCCTGTCAGAGGACATTAGCTGAGACTAATCCTGAAGCAACTTCCTGGCTCCCAAATGGACATAGTCACTAAGAAAGAAAGACTCATTTATTAGAATAAAATTTTTGCTGCGTAAGTGAGGGTTGTACAAGGCACATTTCATGCATCATTATCTGGGCCTGATTAGCAATGATGGAAATTGGTCCTCAATCTTAACAATCAGCGGAAAGGAACCTTCAGCTTTCACTGAAGACGGACAATTGCCATAGACATGTCTGCATTTTCTGCACAATAGGCAAACGGAGGCAAAGGCCCTTGCAGAGGCAGCTTTCAAATTGTTTTGGCAGCAGTTGTCTCACATATGCCATTGTCCCTGTGACGCAAATAAATCATGACCTCGCTCTCCTGAGCAGCAGGATGACATATCTTAGGATGCCCTGTGCCACAGGGGGGCATATTGTCCCTCGTGACCCTAGACATGGCTAGGCCACCTGGTCAATGCAGCTGATCCTCACTCAGGCTTTGGAACAAGTGCACCTGTCTTTGAATGCTATGTGACCTTGCACATGTCAGTTGGTCTCTTTTTACAGTTTCCTATCTGAACAATGACAATAACAACACCACTTACCTTACAGATCATTTGTGAGGATTTTAATACAGTGACTTAAAATATTACAAACAAGTTCTATTCAGGGTCCAGGCAACAAAAGCTGTCTCCCTAGCACAAAGGCATGCCATGCTTCTGGAGCTCACTCTGACAAGAGAAGTGACAAGAGTGACAGAAAACATTATACCCAGTATATTATTATAGTTTAAAAGAATCTGAAGATAGTTCACCTCTACGGGTGGCACAATCATGTTTCCAAGCCCCAACACCTCCCATCTTCTGCCCAGTTTAGGAATTAAGATGGAATAATATGATGGGAAAGAAACATATCAGACACTCTGAAAGCCCACTTATAGCACACCTGTAATCCCAGCGTTCGGGAAGGCAGAGGCAGACACATCTCTGTGAGTTCAAGATCAGCCTGTTCTATAAAGCAAATCCAGGACAGCCAAGGCAACACAGAGAAACCCTGTTTTTGGGAGGGGGAAGGAAAGAAAAAAAAAGAAAAAGCCTCTTATGGTAGAGGAGTAAATTGTTTCTTCCTTTCCAAATCTTGCAGGTGGCTCACTGCTGAGAGGCAGCACAAAGGGATTTAGGGGCTTGCAAAACTGAAGAATTTCTAAATACTTGCCATATATCTCCATGTGCTATGCTCTGAGATTCTCTTTGAGAGCATAGGAAGTTTAAAAGTGCCTCGTGCCAGAGCCCGAAGCCTACATGACTGAGCTTAAGGGACAACTGATAAAATGCACATAGTTAGGAACAGGCTGGCAGTTTAGAGTCTAGTGTGGAGACACAGCCCTGGCATCATGACATTCAGCTGGTCACCAGGTGCCTCGGTTCAGAGGATGCCAGGTGCAGTGCAGTGCAGATATGTACCTGACATCTACCAGCATGTTCAAGTGTCTGGTACAGCAGAATGAAACATGGGGACCACATTACAACTGATGGGGTTCAAGTATTGATAACATGTTAGGGCTAATATGAGCATAACACTCCAAACATACCATGCATTTCATTCCTAGCTTACATGCTGCATATAATTTACACATGGACATACATGCAGAGAATCTGAGTCTTTGTAGTTCCAAGGACAGTGGTGGTCCAGTAAATGTCGGACTGCCTAGCCTTGAGTAGCAACTGAAATTTCTGGAAAGGAGTACAAAGTAATAATCAATACTAAGAAATTAAACATTCCTCCTTTCTTTTTGGTATTCCCTAGAACGGAGAAAGCCACCATGCCCCCAAATGATGAAGAAGACATATTCGTTACTGGACACTTGAATCAAACCCTGGCGGAGCTTGATGACAACCTGGAAGGTAACAGCTACCAGCCTCCTACTTTGATAATATCTGGTATGACATTAGGGAAGGCGCTTTTTCTGAGGACTTTGGTGTGACTCCACAAGGAAGAAGTCTCCGGATTGCAACTTGTTTGGGATGTGTTTTGCCTGTCTGTACAGGACAACTTCCTCTCTCAGGCGAGGGCTGTTCTTGATAGACTGATTTCTGTCAGGGTCCTAAGCAGTATTAAGAAAGGGTCTCAGATACCTGATAAAACAGGATCAGATGAATGGGGAGGAGGTCCCCCCATCAGTGGATTTGGAAAGGGGCACGATGGGCATGAGGGAGGAAGGGAGGGACTGGGAGGGAATGAGGGATCGGGACACGGCTGGGATACAGAGTTAATAAAATGTAACTGACAAGAAAAAATAAAATTAAAAAAAAGAAAGGGTCTCAGTAGTTTTTAAAAATATGCAAAAAGTAATGCTGCTCTGTATGCTAAGATGTATTCTATGCACATCAAAGATGTAAATATCCAGAACACCAAAATGACCCAGGAAAATATAAAAATGTCACAAAGAGAAGCGGCTGTCTTTATTAAAACCTAAAACCCTTCCTTCATCGGTAGCACAAAATACACAATCTTTTGTCCCTGATAAACACCCTTGGCATGGAAGCACCCCATGGCACCACTGTTCTTCTCACACATTCTGGAGAAAACACTGTAAGATCAAGGCAGATGCAAATAATTGTAGTGAATAAGTAGAGGATCCTTTAGACAAAGAAGGCTACACTCTTCTTCATGGTACATATTAAAAATAAACTAGAAAAACAAGACAAGGAGAAACAAATGTCAAAACTGACCCTGATTTTATGTAATTCAGTGTTCAGTCCCTTCTCATTGGTATTTGGTTGACAGAGCCAGGAATCTGAACCAGCCACATAGTCTCCCACAGTCTGGGACCACATGGCCCCTTGCACCATGTAGTGTTTTGAAGAGTCAGTGTAATTCTGAAGACACCAAGATTTACTTATTCTCTCTTTAAGAAATTAAAGCTAGCACAAATCATTCTACATATCTCCTTGTGCGTCTAGTGAACACAAGAAATAGGAAGGGCAAAAATCCCAGTGCACTTGAAAACATTTCCCAGAATATTAAATTTAGGAGTATTTTATTATTGAATGATTTGGCAAAACATGGCAGCTAAATATCTCACCCTGAAGCATCATGGATCTGCAAATGGCTCTTTGCTTTTGGTGCAAGTTGAGATTCTGGCCCCAGGCAGATGCAGATTATAAATCAAGATAACATTTTACATGCATATTAAGAAAAAGTAGTAATCCCTGGGGAAATCAAAGTTCTAGCCATGCTTTCACTAACTCACTGGTAATACTACAAGGGGTGCCAGTTAGTGACTTGTGTTTGTCTTTCTCTGCAGGAATGGAAGAAAATTATGAAACAGATACCAGCTCCCTAACCAACTCTATAAATGGTGTGTCTAACCACAGTCTGCAAGAAGCCATAATCTCTGATAGTGGTGTGGATGATATCCCGGTCACATTTATTGGGGAAGTTTCTGATGAGCCTTTTGACTCGGGGCTTTCCTCCAGTAGAAGCAACAATGCTGTTATTTTTAACACAGGGGGTGTTGCCAGCCAAAGATCTCACCTGCCCCCATTTCAGACTGAGCATAGCCAGCCATATGTAAGGACAAATAGAAAAGAGCCTGACCTCTCCCCTCCTTCCCAAGATATCAGAAAGAGAAATCAGCCAACCTTAGCCAACACATCTGAAGATGAGACTCCAGTTGAAATAGATGCCAGAGTAACATCATTTGTTTCAAAGCTTTTTATAGATGGCCTAAAAGCAAAGGATAAAGGCAAGGTGTGTGGGTCCACTCACAGTGAGAAGACTCAGGCAGGTCACAGAGTAAACTCCCTGCCAAAGAATCCAAAAGATGGTGAAGATGAAAACAACTCAACATTCCCACCATGGTCTCATCGTGGCCAGACCTCAGGGGGAAGCTATGGACTCAAGCATGGCCTCACTACATATAAAATTGTTCCTCCCAAATCAGAGATGAGATGTTATGACAGGGATGTGTCCCTCTCCACTGGTGCCATTAAGATTGATGAACTAGGGAATCTGGTGAGTCCTCATGTGAATGGGAGCAGGACCATACCCCAGTCATCAGCTGTTGTTGAAACAGACGGTCAACCTATTGGAAAAGTCAAAGAGTTCTGGAGGCGCAACTCAATGGAAAAGCTTCTGAATGGGCCGGCAGAGTGTACGGCCAAAAAATACCCCTCCACCACCACCACTGCCACACCCACAAAACCACAGCAAGATAATGGAATGAAGACAGCCTTCACACTGACCGCTCCTCAGCAGCAGCCTGCCACACAGGAATATGGGGCACACCTGGAGGAAGAGAGAAACCGGCCACGTTCAACAGTCTCCTGTCATGTGAAAGTGCCAGCAGCTCATCCCACAGAAGTCACATTCCTCAAGCCCCAGAGAAGAACATCCAGCCAGTACGTGGCCTCTGCCATTGCCAAGAAAATGGGGCCTCCAAAAGTCCACGCAGATGTGGTGAGACCACATAAGAAGACTGCTGAAAAGGGCCATGAAGAACCAAAGCTGCCTAGACCACCCCCCACCGGGAAAGATGATGCAGCTCCCAACCCGCACTCAGAGGCACAGCAGCATGAGCATGAGACAAACCAGGGCTCTGTCTGCCTTTCCAGTACCCCTGGTGTGCAGCTGCCAACCGGAGACCATCCCAGAGTAAAGACTAGCAGCACATATGGGAAGTCATCCACTCAAGACTGTCCTGCTGCTGTCCACAGAAACTCCTATTTCCTCCCAGTCAGTTCTTCCCAGAGGGATCATGTTTCTGTGGGACAGAGCTGTGGTTTCAATGAAAAGCAAACTACAAGTAACCAAAAGGCGAGCTCAACATCTAACCCCACACAGGCGCTGGACAAGGCTCACCCGCCCCCTCCACTCTTGGCAGAGGCCCATGACTCTGGGAGGATACTGATGAATGGCTCTGCATGGGTTCCAGGAAATTATGAGCCTCCCCACTCTCCAAAAGAGTCCAGCCTGACTAGCTACATCATCTTACAGACAGAGGAAAAGCCCAGTCCGTTATCTACAGATGGTCAGGACGCAGATGCTGCTCTACCATCCAGCATTTTTGGGCCAAAGAAAAAATTCAAGCCTGTTGTTCAAAGGCCAGTTCCAAAAGACACATCCCTGCACAGTGCCCTGATGGAAGCTATCCACTCATCAGGAGGGAGGGACAAGCTCCGCAAGGTAAATGTGGTGGGCTTCGGGTGTTGGGTTCAGGGAGCTCCTGGGCAGGGCTACCACCCTATCTTAGATCTTAAGAATGGGACTGGAAGAAAGGCTGCAAAGGCAGAGATGCAAGTCTGTGGGTTTCATTTTAACTACATTCTATCTCCTTCTAAAGCATTTGAATAAAAGCACTGGAGAGGCTTTAGCTTGTCAGGCTCCAGCAGTGAAGTAGAAAAGATGTCAATCAGTAAATAATCATCTACTGGCCCAGAGTAATAGTGAGGCCAGGGTGTGGTGCTGTCTGTACTTTGTTCCAGAAGTACTCTGTCAGCTTTGGGTTGTTGGAACAAAATATCTGAAAAAAAAATTAGAGAAAGGAAAGGTTTATTTGAGGGTCAAGGTTTGGAGGTTTTAGTTCATGGCCAGTTGACTTACTGCTTTTGAGCTTATGGCAAAGCAACACAGTGTGGTGAGAATACATGGCAGACAAATGCTCACCTCATAACCAGGGAGATGAGAGAAAAAAGTGTCTCACCATCCCCTTCAAGGACCTTCCACCAGGACTACCCAGTAAGGTCTCCATCAGCTCCTAGTTGTGGTAGGCTGAGAAATTTTCCTTCCATGAGCTTCTGGGCAATGTCTTGACACTTCGAGACAGTAAGCCATAGGAGGGCCACTGCTTTCTGTACAGCCTTGTATTACTAGAAAAGGGGACACATTCTGAGAACTGCATGGCAAGTGGTTTCATTGCTGTGTGAACATCATGAGGTATCACACAAGCCTATATGACAACAGGCTAGCACTCAACAGGGACTTCTTGTTACATCAGATGACATCAAGAGGAGATTGATAAAGGATGCTGCTTGTGCAGCAGGCCCTAGCATTTTGGAGGAAGAAAAAAGAATAAAACCATAACCCCAAAAGTAGTTGTCTATGCCAAAGTAACCAGAGAACCTATAGGATAGTGAGTGCATAATACAGCAACATAGTCACCCACAGTCACAATGCAGAGTCACACACGACTGCGTGTAGCTATGTGTCATACCTCTGCGTGTCTACCAGCACAGGGCATATGCTTGCCTACACTAGCATCATGCCAAACCCCTATGAAGTTCATTGCAGTAGGACATTAGTATGGCTACAGAGTCACTGGGAGACAGGAGTATTTCATCTCTTTTCAGTCTTGTGAGTCTGCTGTTACCAGTGTGGTCCGCTGTTGACTGAAACATTATGTGATGGCATTACATTCTCATTCTACAGCAGAAATAGCAAGAACTTTGTGATCTTCCTCCATTATCAGGTCACGTAACACATCCAAATCTTATTACTGAGCTGCTAATGCAAATACTGAAGAGTTAATTCCTCCATTTTTCAGCTGAGGAAGCAAAGCAGAGTGAGTCTTAGGTGCTCTGGCCCAGTGTCACCCACTAACATCCTCATCTAGGTCTGTAAGATTTCAGCACACATGTCAGCTAGGGAAAGCTGGGAAAACAGCAGGAATAGTCTCATAGTAAGAGACAGTACTTGATACAACCTTGATTCTTCTATGCCCCTCAACTTACTACAGGGTTATATCATGGTATCCCAAAACAAGTCAAAAACACCCGAGTTGAAAAGGCCTTTAATGCGCTGAACCCAGCTGAGTCTCGTTCCACGTCCTAAACTGCATGTGCTCAGAACATTATTTACATCAACCCACATCTGGACAACATAGTCTAGCTCAAAGGCTGCTCTACCCATGTGTTGAGTGACTCAGTAAAGTTTTTGTATGCTGTGCTGAAACTAGAAAAACAAATGGTTGTGTACCTAAGTCTTGCTGTTGTGGCTAAGCTGTAAGCTCTTCCATGATCTTCTGGGTGTATCTTTAAGCAGATGGGTTGAGGGGAATTGATGCTGTAGGCATCTGCTGACAGGGAGTTAGCCTTTCCTTATCTTCACAGTGGAATACGTTAAGCTTGTTAATATTCTAGACTGCAGAACTCACCTCAGAAGGAAAGCCAAAGAAGCCATCCTACATGGAGGCAGAGAGCGAGCGATCTGCCCTTCTGGCAGCCATCCGGGGCCACAGTGGAACTCTCAGCCTAAAGAAGGTAAGGAAAAGGTCCTTGTGTATAGAACAGATTCAGAATCCTGCCTGCACTTCTCCCTAGCAAACTAGACTGGCACCACTTAGCTTCCATCACTGTGACTAGATGACAGCAGCAACTAGATGACTAGTGTGCAGCAGGTGGATTGCTAACTCCACTTGCTTGGCACATTGTCACCCAACTCTAGGCATCTGTTATGACCTCTGCTTCTATAAGTGGCATTTCTCTACCTTTCCTGCAGGCCTACACTAACACTTTTCAAATTCTCTCACACACTCATCATGACCTCAGGGTAGGGTACCAGGCCACTGTCACGGTTCCTACCATCACAGACTGAGGCGACTGTGCAAAGATAGCCCTGGACTTGCATAATTGTAGGCACAATATTAATTGAATTTAGAGGCAGGGCAGTGCACCTGTGGCTATCACACATGGGATTTGATGAATGATGTGACTTGTATATTCCCCTGGAGTTTTAGTGGGTGTCAAGTTCAACCCCCACTTGGTCAAAGCTGTGTGTCCAGCTTCTATTTCTATCTTCACATGTGAAGAAAAATATGAAACTAGAGAGTACTCTTGCACTCCTGTTATAGCTGGCACCACTGAGCCATGCTTTGGAAGAACATGGGGATATATGTATAAGTAATGAATGGACATATTTCTGTTTTCTGTGGTTCATCACTAAGGAGCTATTTGAGGTTCACTGTGAGATGGGTAGCTATATGCTGTCTTCTTGGAAAGGAGCTTTCCTCAAATTGTAACTGTTAAGTCCTTCAGTCTGCTATAACAAAGCACTATAGACTGGGTGGCTCAGAAACAATGGGGGTTTATTTCTTACAGCTCTAGAAGATAGAAGTCAAAAGTCATGGCAATAGCAGAGTTGGTGTTTTGTAGGGTTGTCTTTCTGGTCCCTAGTACCTCCATCCCAAGGCTTCACATGACAGGAGGTTCAGGAACTCTCTGGGGCTTCTTTTATTTGGTACTGATTCTATTCATGGTAGATCCACATTTATGAACTAATCACTTCCCAAAGGCTCGCCCTAGGTTCAGCACCATGGAGTATTACAGGTGAGACGGGGTACATGAGCACTCACTCTAGTAACCACTAACTGTCTCATTAGGTGTCTTCGCTTGCCTCTGAGGAGCTCCAGAGCTTCCGAGATGCTGCACTCTTGGCTCCAGGTTTGGACAAAGCTCAGCAAGAAGACCCTGGCCTCCCACCACCACCTGCCCTGCCACCACCACCCCCTCCAGCCTCCCAGGCTCCATCAGCTCCCATAACGGTTTCTAGGTTCAGCACTGCCACCCTCAGCAACACAGTGGATGCCAGGCAAGCCTTGATGGATGCCATCCGCTCAGGCACGGGAGCCGCAAGACTCCGAAAGGTGAGCATTGCTACGGGAAACAGAAATGGAGGCAAAACTTATCACGCAGTCCAGCTTCTGGAGGGCACTGCTGAGGGAGGGGTGGATACAAAGAGCTAACTCAGGAGAAAGCCAGCTCTGCATGTCAGGTGCTGCCCATGTGGCAAGGTTTAAGCTAAACCCACTACTGTCTCCCTCCTAACCCAAACTCATTGCTAGTGCAGGGTCAGGCTGGGAGAGAAGCCACGGTGCACTCCCTAGAGCTCCCCAGAGGGAATGTAGCACCCTTAGCCTACAATATCGTCACCTCTCTTCCCCTACCCACCTTTGTCTCCTTCTTTCTGCCAGCATAATACATAGCTGTTAGTGCATTTGGTCTCCCAGCAGAGCACACACACACTGTTCTCCTCCCTGGTTCTCTTTTGGTAGTCTAATGAAGGTCTGCACATCTGCTCCCCACCCGGACACTGTAGAAGACTGTAGTCCTGAAGCAGTATTCCCAGATTCTAGCTGGCTTCCAAGCTCTGTTTCAGCTCAATGCTCCTATCCTACTAGTTCACTGACATCTGGGGCTGCCCATGCCTCCTGAATATGGCAAGTTATACTAATAAAGAAAGCTAGGGTACTTTACATTTTCCAAGAGAGCGTTTCTGCTTCCTAAACTGTGTTGTCCCTAAAGAGGCCAGCAGAAAGTTAATTGCTCAGGGCTCAGAGGATCCAAATCACTTGCTTTAGTCATACAGGGACTGGACCCAGCCCAGAAGGTTCTTGTCACCCAGGCTGTATTCTCCAAGGAAAGCAGGTCACCCATGAAGCCGGGGCTGTGCCACTTTCACATAAGGCTGCCATCTCTAGGAATAAGACAGACAGATCTCCTTGTTCCCCACTTAGAAGCCTAATGGGGCAGAGGAGAGGAGAGCTTCCTAGGACATGTGACTTGGAAAAATTGGCCTTCCCTCAGCACCACTCCATGGGCACCTATAAGCCACGATTTTATTCTATCACGGTTGCTCCTGAGGTGTAGTTTCCCATGCTCCATAAAATCTATTAGGCTCAGCTCCCTGGCTAGCCCCCTCCCCTTGAACTTGTCTTAGTTTGGGAATAGTCATAGCTGTACAGGTGTGACCTCAGGAAGGCACCCAAGAAATACCACTCCCTGTCAAGGATGTAAGCCATCTACATCGGAGGCCTAGCTCACTTCAGGTCTCTATCTAGCATAACTGGAGAATGGCAAGCTTCCAGCTGGCCAAGAAGGAGCACAGGAACATTACTCAGTACCCTTTGGGTTTCGCATTCTTATTGAATTTGTATATTTCTGAACTTGCATCATGAATGGCTGAGAATGGACCGTGGAAGTCAGATAATGGCTGTGAATACAGCCCTGAGGCCCCTCTGGGCCCCAGACAGCCATTTACCACTGACTGAGTTCCAGAGCTGGTGGCTCTGAACCTTTTTTGAAAAGTCCTAAGCGAGTAATTTAATGAAAACTGTCACCAGACTTTGTTTCACAGTTCCTAAAATCATGTTTCTTAACAAAAAATCCATAAGCCCAGGCTTGTCAGAAGGTAGCACCAACAGGCCAGCCAGGTTAGACTGTCTATAAAGAGACTTTGCTTTAAGGTTTGGGGTAATTATCTATATCATTTACCCCTCTAATATATTCTGAAAAACGCTGAGTGTAACCTATCCAAGGCTTCCCTCCCTTTCATTTCAGTGAACTAGTCAACCATGGTTTGTAAATATTGAGTGGAAATTTCCAATAATTAACAATTGGTGAGTTATAAATAAGTTTGATTACAGCAAATGGATATTAGTATTATACTTGTTAATGCCTATTCCTTTCTCTGAGAACTCCTTCCTCTGCTTTGTAGAAAGTTAAAAAGAAGCAAGGTTGAAAACAGTCTGAAAGAAGAGAGTAAGTGTTTAGGAAAGTAAGGGATAGAAATGAAGGACAGAAGATGAGGATGTCTGAATAGACACAGCCAGTTGAAGGTTTGGAGGTGAGGATGAAGTTAGCCAGTATGAACCCCAGGCAAGGGTAGAGAAAAAGTCATCACAGTTATTAGCCAGAGTAGGAGACCCAGGTGTCATTTCCCACATGGTCTCAGTTTTGTGTCAGCTACTTAAATCGAATACATAAGACCAAGTTTTGATTCTATTTCTTCGACTGACTTAACTCTTGGGTTCCTCCTTTATCCACTCTGGGAAGTATGAGTCCCTAAATGTTTAAGGATTTGTATGGCACATTTGTTTACAAGGTGCCTGAGAGCTGGGTCCTTGGTGATGAGGGGCAAGATGACACTGAATAGGTTCTTGTCACTGTATCTGTAACTTGTGCCAAGGTGATTCTCTGCCGCCTGCTGCAAAATGGGCATAGGATGCCAGGGTGGGATGGCACACCCCTTTGAGCAGCCCTTCCCAACCTCTCTCCAGGGTGTCCAGGTGCTCATGGGCTGCACTGCCCCCCTCCTGGGCAGGGCCTGGATCCCTAGGGCCATTCCCCCACCTTTGTGGCCACTGGTTTGCCTTTGGTCTGCTGCAACTTTCACTAGAGCACCAGATGTGAGGCCTTAGGGGAAATGTTCACAATTCAGGTAATGGTTCCAAAAGGCTCATCCGGTGGTCATTTCTGGCTGGGAGTGGACAGTTGACTTCCATGGCTCTACAGTGTCAAAACACGTGGACTTTTCCTCTATTTCTTTAGTTTCCTTTCCTTCTATGGTCCAACTGGCCTTGAGGAAAATGCAGTAGGTCTGCAGCTTCCACATCATGGACTGAGCTCTGTACAGTTAAGCATATCTGTGGCTCTGCATGCCTGGGTGTTCAGTATAAGTTCCTGCTCAGGTGGGCCCTTGCAGCTGGCTCTCCAGGACTCCGTGAAAGGCTGCAGGGCACAATCCACAATGGTTGCTGCCTCTTAGAAAGCCCTTTTCTCAGCTCAGATCCTGGGATGGGAGGCTTCCCCAGGATTTAGAACTTTAAGAATAACAACAAAAACAAACCGACCATGGTAAGCAAAATGGAATGGTTAATGACCCTACTGTGACTCAAGTCTCATTGGGAAGATACTGCTTACAGTAGAGAAGGGTCAGCTTGATAGAGAAAGAAAAATCATCTTAAAGATGACAACATTGTTTTTCAAAATGGTCACAGTAGCATTTGCCATCGTGGTGTGTACGGCCCAGGTCTTTTGCTGTTGATGGCTGCTGGTGCAGCTCCCAGCTGCCGGATTTGCTTCAGGTTCCATGTGAGGACACATGATGCTCTGCTGTAACAACCCAGGTTTCTTCCTAGGACATCTCCTCTTCTCAAAGACAGTGCACACCCACCTCCCTGTGATAGCATCCTCCTTTTTCCCTCAGTTCTTCGTTCACAGCAAAGGTAAAGCGACCTTGTTCCTCCAGCTGCCTTGGCAAATCTGTGATAAAGAAATTGTGTCAGAGGGCCTGGCACAGACATCTAGTTTCCTCTTATCTGTGTGCACATGTAAACATGCACATGGCAAAGCTTCAGCCCCTAAGCCTTCAGTGGGACCTGCCAGGATGCAGACACTAGGAGAGCTGTTGAGAGCAGACAGATGAATGAAGTCTCACTGTGCCCACAAACTCACTGAGCCACTGAGACACAGAAAGAGAAAAACAACCTCTCAGAACAACTGAAGGGCTTGGTTAGAACCCCCACCCCACACAGAGGGCATGGCAGGCTTCTGCCAAGTCCCCTGGGAAGAAAGGCTGTGGCTTCCATTTGATAAATAGACAGGTGGGGTGCTGATATCCTAAGTGACTTTTCCTGGCAAAACATTCCTAGGTCAGCACCTTTGCTATGCCCAGACATCTTATCATCGCCTGGCTGCCTTGGCAAATGCCCCATGAACCATGCTGAGCTCACACAGCACAGGTGCCCTCTTTCCCACTAATGGAATCACTGATGTAGACACATGCATGCCATGCCCCTTGACCTCAACAGGAAGCCCCAAGATCCGATTAGACATGTGATGGTATCAGGAGATCCCGAGCTAGGGAGAACAAACCTCTTCCTTCTCAGCTGAAGAGAACTCCATGTTCCTGGGACTAAGGAGCAGCAACCTGTTCAGCACAGACCTGACTCCTGAGTATGGCTGCTGCATACACTGGGCTCAGGTTGTTCATTGTGTAAGCTATGTGTAGTTAAATCGAAATGGCTTCAAGACAGGCAGTCGAGATATTCCTGTGACAGCACTCCCAAGTTACCTGCTGTCTCTGAAAATGGAGCCAGGGTAAAGCATGTTATGAAACCACTGGGGGCAGTCATCCTTCCTGTTTTCACTCTAAACTGTCTAAAAGGCTCCTTTGGTACCTGGGTTGGCTCAGTTTTCCCACATTGTCACCATGTAATTTTCCCTTCAGAATGCAAGCCACAGCTCTGAGTTCCCTGAGAACTCGTGTAAGTACTGTTGGATGTGAGCCTCTGTTTGCACAATATGGCTTTGCCCAGCAAGGCTCAGCCACCATTGTACCACAGCCCCCATCAACAGCTGCTGGCACAGAGTGGACATTGGGTCACAAGTTGAAAGGAAGATTAAGACAGAGTAGGCCTCCTTCGCACCGTGGGTACATTCCAGCCCTCCTGTTACATCCTACTATCAATATGCTGAGAGCTCACATCCCAGAGAACCACTTGAAAATCTTGTCAAATATCCAATTCAAGTTACAAGTACACAACTTTTCTTTGGGGAAATAAAATGACCTTAGGGAATCTCCAGTCTTCCTCTCTGACTTGTTTGCACCCTCACCTGTCAACCAGCTGCTGGTTCCTCTGGATGGATTCTTTGGTGCCTAGAATCTTCCCAGCCAACTTGGAAGAAAAGCACTTAACCAGAGAATTCCCTGCTTGCTTGGAGAGTTCTTTTTTTTGCCAAGAAATCATTCCCCAGCACCACTGCTCACTCACCTTTTTCCATACAGAGAATATTCTTCTTAACAGATGAGGAAGAAAAAAATAAATAAAAATTTAAATATTTTTTTTCAGCTTTCTGTGTTCTC